TGCAATTCTCCCACAACACAAAAGCCAGGTTTAATTTTTGAGTTCTCCTTCCATAGCCAAGAACTATTCTCAGCCATAAGGTGAATTCAGGGTCCAAATTTCACAATCATCTCATTTGAAACTCAAAAACCGTTTAGCAGAGTGCATGATGGACAGGGCAGGGGAAGATAGGAGCAGGGCAGGGACAAGAAATCTAACAACCAAATCAAAACACAAAGCCATCACTACCACATATGCACATATGTCTGCACATGGACACACACTGCAAACCTTCTTCCTTAGGTCTTAAGAAAAATTATTGAGATTCCTACACTTAACTGAGATCACTCAAAGAAGTATGTCCCACTCAGAGGAATATGTCCTTAATAAGTCTGAGACTTCAGGAAAACCCAACTTTGAATTATTTCTGCAGTTAAAGTGTCATTAATAACATTAAGCAAGCTGAAATGAATGCTTCTTCCTTAGTAATCTAAGACCAAAAGACTACTGCAAAAGATATGCAGATAGTTTCCCGTAAATAATTGCCAAGCAAGCCTAGTATACATATTAAAAAGGACCACCAACAATCATAGGTTTAGCACCATAAAGCTATCTGTCAAATAACTTCTTGTCTTTTCTAATTGATAAAAAAGAACAAAATAGTGCCCAAATTCACCTATGACATAAACAAGCAAAATTAGCTTTCTTACTTGAAATAACATGGCAATTGCACCTACCCATCTCAAAAAGATTATATAGCAATATCACTCAAAACAAAACAGTACAAAAAGCTGTAAACAGTAGTTCTTTATGAGGTTTTCCAGATAAGACTCCCTTAGACAATTCTATTACACCTTATGCCTGCAGGGCAAATTGCATTGCTATGGAAGTTACACCTGAAGCACAAATTAAGCAGTAAAGACATTAGAATAGCTTAAGCAGGGTCAGTTAAAGAAACTGTTAGGGCCAAACACCATCATGACACACAAAATTTAAGTTCTCACCTGTTCTGGAGCTCTTAATTCCTGAAAATCCTAAGAAAATTTTAACTCTGACTAATGATGTTGTTCTTCCAGTGTTCTTTTTTATTTGCAGGTTCCCCACTCCATCCCAAACAAACTGAAGTTCAAGCTTGCCTAAAATCATTCTGCTCAGAAATAAAACTCATTCATACAATCCACCAAATTATGTGGTGCCCTGCCGAAACCAAGAGATACCTTAACAGGACGCACATATGCCTAGTATCATGAAAATGACTACAAGTAAAACAAACCAGACAAATAGTGCAACATCTGAATATTACATCATT